GGGTGAGTTTGGAACATGAGATATTCTGGTTTCCAATAAGCCTCCTAAAGTAATCCAAGGTGAACATAAATCCTTGTTGTGTGATATTATCAAGATAGTATTGCATTCCATGTTTGTAACGGTGTCTCTTTGGTGATTGGTCGCTTGTGGCGACTGTCATCCCGGCCAACCATGCCGGTGGGTCGGCAAAAATTTTTTGTTGTCGAACAGAAGTCTTTTGATGTTGTTGAAGAGGGTAGAGGTATCAGAGTATACGAAAATGGTAGGGGTTTTTGGAAGTCTATATTTCTCCAGAAAGAAGACGTTGAATGGTTTTCGAAAAGTCTCAGAGAGTTTAGATGGGAGAAATGGAGAAGGCTCCGGAGAAGTAGCTGGAGGACGCTATCCTTGGTCCTGAGCAGTAATAAGCAAGGTAGATTTCTGGTGTTACTAGAAAGTAAAGATGGCCCTAAAAGGAGTTTCAACAGGTTAATTTTTCCTGAGGGGGCTCGGGCTGAGGGTTGGTGGCAAATAATGGATGTTGTCCATGAGGTTGTTGGGGTGGAGCTTTTTTCCCCAAGATTGGCTAAAAGGAGAAGGACAATTGCTTGAATGGGAGTCATTCCCCCAATTCGAGCAACACATTATTGTCTTAAGTGTCCTGGATGCAGCCTTGAATTGGTGGAGAAGAAGAAGGCTTCATTTGCTGATATCCTTCGGACAACCAGACGTGAAGCCAAGTCGGGTAGGGCAGGATGGTAAGGCGGGTCAATGCGGGTGGGGTAAGAGGAATTCAAAATTTGAAATACAGAAATGTGCAGGTTAAGTGATGAGGGGTGGTCAGGAGAATGAGAATGGAAGGGTACTTAGTGCGTCGAAAGAGGGAGGAATAAAAGATAAGTTCTCATGGGCTGAAAGGGGTAAATGGGTGTACAATCCTGGGCTGAGCAAGGTTGTGGGTAAAAAATGGGTGAGGAAGATTTGGCAACTGAAGCGGGTCATGCTTGGTTCGCCCAAGAACCCATTTCTCGCAAGTCAGTATAAAGGGGCAAAATCAGGAGATGGCAATGGAAAAATTTTAGAGAGCCTGACCCTGAAAGAATCAGGTAGAGTTAAGGTCTCTAGAAGCTGAAAGACTGGAGTAATCTCTAAATTATGAGGGTAAAAAATCGGCAGGAGGGGGGAAGGGAGGTAAGCTTAGCAAAATATAGTGATGATAGGGAAAATTATTTCATGGAATGTGAGGGGAATTAATGATGGCAAAAAACATAGGATTATCATGGGCTGTCTAAAAAGATGGAAGCCTGATTTGATCTGTTTACAAGAGATCAAGACGGAGGAAATTAATCTACAGATTATCCGAAACTTGTGGAATGGCAGTAAGGTGGATTGGGTGTTTTTACCTGCAGATGGGGCAGCTAGGGGTATCCTTATTATGTGGGACAAAGAAAAATTTATTTGTAGAGGGGTAGAGAGGGGTAGGGTGTCTCTGTTGGGTTTGTTTGAAAACTGGGGGAATGGAAAGAATTGGGCTTTTTCTAGTGTCTATTGAAGAGATAACAAAGAGGATAGCGTGAGCCGGTGGGAGGAACTATGTTGCTACAAAATACTTGGGGTGACATTTGGGTGATTGGGGG